ACGTAAGTGACATTATTAGATTATTTTTTATCGATCTGTAAGACTGAGAGACTAATAAATATACGACGAAGAATGGAGATTTGTAGTAGCAATCTTTTGAATAATTGCACAAAACAGTTTAGATTATTTTAAAATATATTTACTAGTTTTGTATTATGTATATTTAAAAAAAATGGTTTATTTTCACCATTTTCTCAATTTGTAACACAAAATTACCATTAGTGTAAATAGCTATGATAGTATTACCAAAAGCCATGGACTTTAACAAAGGTCATTCTGTAGCTACTTAGAAACTGAATAATGTATTCAGCCTTTAGGCTGTATGTAACTTGGGTTCAAGCTAAAAAGAACCTTGCCAGCTATATCTTGACACCTGTATTTGTTCTGTATCATGACAATTCTCCTGTATAGATACAGAAGATTTATCGTTAATGTTAGAGTTGACATCTTCAAAATATTACAGAGACTTTTCTGAAAATTTAAATTCTTACTCTGTTGGGACCAGGTCTTGTTGTAACACAGCATCCTACACAGTGGGGTCTCTCAGTTTGTGAACAAAGAGGCTATCTTGAAAAAAAAAAAGTGCTGTTGGATGTAAGCTTATTTGAGGAAACTGCAGATGGTATCAAGGCAGTTTGTTCTCAGCTGTCATCTCTGTGCCCAAAGCCAGATCTGGGGGGAATAGGAAGAGCTGGGCACTGGGGTTGGGGTCCTGGAAGGGATTTTAGCCTGGGTACCTTTTGGATGATGTTCCTTCCACTCAACTCCGGATTAAAAGCTACGTGTGTGCCATCTAAATTCATCATTAAGACTTCCTCTCTAATCAGTACAGAAAGTAAGCACTGCTAGGTGCTTCACCCATCTTGTTTAAATACTTGTCTTTGAAAAGAAAGATGTTACCTCTGGAAGTGTTCTCTGCTGACCAGTAGAAGAAGCTAGACAACGAGCATAGCTGTTACTACTGTTTAGGTGGCTGCAGTTAACAGAGGTGAATCCCGTCTCATGTGTCTAATGCATGATAATCCCCAAGTGGGATAGCTATTTTACAAAAAAACACCATTTGCAGCTAGAAAGACAGCAAAAATGCTATGCCTGCTATCCCCCAGTCATGCAGCCAGATTGTTTTTCTAAGACATCCTTCCAAGCCACCTGGTGAAGAAACAGCTGTGAGCTGTCTGAAGGGTGTGCCAGAGATCATGCTTTCCAGGGACTCTACTTCTGTTCTCCCTATTCAGACATTTCCACTGAAACTGATAGAAATTATGGCCAAGGACTATAAAATCAAACCCCTTCTGAGATGTTACTGGAAGCAGATCCTCCTGTACATTGCTGTGAGATTGTTAGGTGACAGCTAATTGAAGGTATTGCTGCTGGAGGCTTTCTGATAGGGTTCTTTCTTTGCAGACAAGCTATTCTGCAGCATGAGGAAAAAGAGACATTAGCCTATCATGTCACAATGAAGAGGAATAAAAATACAACATTTCACTGTGCATCGATATACTTTATTCAGGGCAGAAGTGTGCAGTTTTCATAGCTTAAAACCATGACCCAAGAAGTTATGAATAGTTGCAAAACACTCCTCTTTTACTCTCTTCCAATATGTTCATAATTTGAATCAAACTGCGGGAGAGAAAATGAGATACAAAGGCAGAATCTGAAAGCCCTCACATGTCACCTTCCAGCTGTTATGAAAATCTAGGCTGTTACTGTTCTTGTCTTCGTTGCCTCAGTACAGCCCCATTCCTTCCCAGGGAAATCTGTAATCAGAGCTATTGCATTTGAGTAAGCAGACAGTACTACAGCTCAATCAGCGCCGCTCAGGGAGGACCTGGAGGCACTTGACGTGGACTGAGAGATGCCCTGAACATTTCTGTGGTACAAGATTTAGCATAAAGGTTGCCCTAACCTCCCCCCTCTTCAAACTTCAGGTTAACACACAGAGAAAAATGCTGCCATTCTGTTTCTCTACATTAGTGATGACACTTCACCCAACAGGACCAACCCCAAATGACAGCCAATACCAACTGCATCAACTGGGTCTTAGGTTTAAAAGGAAATTGAGTAATACTTCAAGCCTTTATGTTCTTCCATTTCCACTTACCTGGAAGAATAAACCAGGCTACTTAGTAAACATTGTCAACAGAAAGGTGACCTTTTCTTCAATCTGACCTTTTAGCTCAGCTTCATGGGTGGGTTTGGCTCAAAGAATTAATTCTGCCTGGGTTGCCAAATTCAAAGAAACAGGTGGAGTTAGACTATAAGTTGTTTACTTGGGTTATGCTGGAATTCCTTTGCTCTTGCCCGAGGCTCTACTTTGGAGGCCTTCAAAGTTAAAACTCCTACTCCGTTCTTGCCTGAAATATTTTGTTACATTTCTCATCTGGCAATGGGAATTAGAGGAACCTGAAATGTTGTCCCTGTCTAATACAAAGCTAAAAGTAATTCCATGTTTTGTGATGCTCAAACCATCACCGTCTGCTTGCCTTGTCTGAAAGATGGGCAAGAATGAGGAAAACACACACGAGCACCCTTTGCAGACACCCTTTATTGAGTGCCCTGTGCAACCTACATGAGGAAGAGGGTCTAGCTGATGGGTTGAACCACAGGGGCCAAGTGTAAATGACCACAATGGGGACACGGCGCAGGTACAATCAACAAACCCACTCAAAAGGCATACAGGAAGGAAACTAGGAAAAACAGGATAGATGTTTTCCCTTTGTTTTTTGGGGTATGTTTATATTAGAGGGAAGTGTGCTCCACGGTATGGCCCACAGTCCTTGTCCCCTCTCTGTCCCTCTACAGAGCCTCTTGGACCACACTGCAGCTCCCTTCTGGTGTGTGCTCTGGAACTTAGTTCCCTTGGAAACCAAACACACATTTACACTGTTTCTAAAAGCAACAAGTATAATAACAATTATTTTTTAAATGGTACTGAACCATAGATTTTCATTTTGTTTTTGGAAGAGATAAGTAACATATTTTACATATATCTACAGCAAACCTTGTTTTCTAGGTTTTTATCAGCATGTTAAAAAGCAGTGTAAGATGAGGATGTCCACATCTCTTAAGTTTTATTCCAAACTTTTCCTTTCAAAATCAAGAATATTTTCATTCTTCTTTGTGATAAATCCCACTTGTGATCAATTATCCTATTTGTATACATTTTTTTAACATTAAGCTAAATGCTGAAGGAATGATATTCCCAGTGTAGAGTCCAAAATATAAATAATACATAATTTAAAAAATCTGGCATACTTATAACTTAAAATAAAGGAATCACATGTCATTAAAATAGCATTTCACTCAGCTTTTATGCAATTTTAGAAAATCTCTTTTCTCATCCTAGATTTGGGCAATGATTAGGGATCACATGGTGTTCTGGAAGAAGTTGCTACCATCCTTTCAGCTGAAAATTGAAGCATTTCCAAGAATGTCACAGGAAATTTTAAAAGACACAGCAGCAAATGGTATTAGATTCTGAGGTTATCAAAGAAAGAGTAAATGGTAATTAGGGTGATTGGAGCGATGCCTGAATATGGTGTGGAATCCGTAAGCACTCAAAGCAAACAGAGACCCCACTGGGAAATGTTTTGGACACCATCACATGAAATGCTATTCGTGTCTTCTGTTGTATCCAATTTTATATGCTGGTAACCAATTTATTATGATGTACTAAGAGCAGGTGACTGTAATGCTCTGAGCAGAATATTCTGTTATTCCTTTCTTTGTCTAAGGGAACACTAACAATGTGCTGTACATTTTACAAAAAAAAAATTGTCTCTTGAAAAAAATATCAATAACAGGTTACATTTATGATGCCCTTCCCCTTTAATAAATACATGTGACTATAAGTGATTTATAGTATAAACCAGATGGTGCTGATGTGGAAAAACTCCCAAATCTTTGTTCTGTCTGAGCAGGTTCTTTGAAAGTGTCATCATTATTTGTTTTAACTCCAAAATTGAAAGTCCCCTAACAAAATACTGATAGAAGTTTGCTTTGCAAGTGCATACTGCATGAGACCATTCTCATTACCTAGCATGAACTCTCATTCACTTCTGAAAGAGACAGGAGCTCAGCAGGCAGTCAGGCTCTGCAGAAGAAGCTTGTTTAGAAAATTTTGTATGTTACTGTCTTTTGAGGATCAGCTTGGAGACTCGCGACAGCAAGAATCTTAAAAGATCTTCTTGGCTAAAACTGACAGTGTGAAAGAATTACTCAGTCCAGTAGACAGCAAGCAAGTCGAAGCAGGCATCAGTATTTTCTTTCTAGGTAGCTACTGTTGAAACCTGTCATTTCCCTTCATTTGCTCTTTTCAGACAGCACTTTTGTCAGTAGAATAATAATGAGCTCATCCCAAAGCTTTATAAGAGCAAACGAATGCCACTGATACTTTCTATTTCAAAATAAGAAATTGTTATTCTTCTCTCTAACCTAGTTCAATCTTCTTCCATATTCTGCAAAAGTTTCCTGAAGAGTTGTTCTTAAATTTCATTAAAATTAAAAAAATGTTGTTAATCATTCAGTCTCATTTTCTCATCCAAATTATACTGGGGACGAAGGATTTAAGGAAGGGTGTGCCAAACACTGAGAACTGTTGGTATTCCAAGTCAATTAGTGTAGTTAGTGCCTAATTAAGTGCTAATTTATGCCCTGTGCAATCTCATAGAAGGTAGAAATCTGGCTCAGACTAGTTGGAAAACAAAATTTTAGCTATTACACGTGAAAATATCTACTACTTTTATGCATACAAAACATACTTTGTTTTATATGAGTCAAGTGCACTGCAAAACAAGGCTAAACTCTTATCCTGGTTTGGCTGGCTTCCTCTTACAGTTTCAAAAGTTTCATAAACATTTGTTTTCCTGTATCCTCAGAAGTCACAGAATATGCTAAAGACAAGTTGTCTGGCAGCCAATTTTATGTTTCCTTCAAAGGGCAAACTTAACTGTCTTCTGCGACAGCAGAGTTGATAATCTATTGATACTCACAGTATCTTTATTCTCTGTTTCACAGAATAAACAGAAATTTTAGCTAGAGCTGAATAAACCAGGAACTGGTGGCAGCTATTTGAGCCAGGCTTTCACAGGAGAGATCTTCCTAACTTCCCTGCATGATACAGCAAACACAAACATCTTTCTTGTCCATGCAGGAAATATATCTTGAATCCCAAACAGAAGTAATGTTAAATTTTGACCTCCACAGAGACAAGTCAGTCATCTCAGATGTAGCCCATGGGAACGTTCAAAGTGCCACACCTGATTTGCATTCTTGTTACATGCACACAAAAACAAGTCCTTCTCATCTTCACTCTTCACTGCCTCTATGCATTTGCCAGAAAGGACATGGACAATCATTCCATTCTACAAGACGAGAGAAGAAGGGAAAGAAAGAATAAATTAAGGGATTTCCACTAAAAGCTAGGCCATGTTTCTGAAACTTTTTACATACAATAATAGATCACCAGTAATGACTGTTTGTTCTAATTTTTTTGAAGTATTACTCTAAACATAATGACTAGGTTAACTTTGAGCCCAGGGCATGGTGAGTATTCATAAGTCCTTTCAAAGCTGACAGGAGTAGTAAGTGCAGAATTCACTGAATCTCTTTTCCACCGCTGTGGGTACAGGTTGTCATCAGCATCACCTACAGTACTACAGGCCACAAAATTTCAAAAGAACCAGTGCTTCCCTTAGGAATCAAAACAAATTACAGTAGGTACTGTACCAGAGGATTGCAGCATCCCTAGAACTACAGTAACTGCTACTTCCCCAGGCTGTCCTAGAGCATGACATTTCTCAGTCTTGTAGAGGAGTTCTTGCTCTGCTGGGTGATGTCCACCGAATAATATAAAATTCCTCTAATAGGAAGTTTGCTCTTCTCTTACAGTGCAGGAGGAATTTTAAAGTTTCCCCTGCTCCCAAAGGGCTCTCATTTGGGAGGGTTCAGGATTCCCAGACCCTTCCTCTATCCAAAAGAACTGGGCAAGGATTTGCCCTGCTCTTATTATCACAACCACTGATTCTGATTCTACTCCTGTAAGGCCAGTAAGACAAACAATTAAAATCAGAACATAAGAATTTAGGTAGGATTACTGTAATTTGTATTTTTAAACCAAATTTATTTCACATAGACAGAGTAAATGGGCAAGAGGCATCCTAAATTTCCTGTGTGAAATTGTAGAGAAGTGAAACTTGCCCTTCAGATACCTGAACCCTTCTCCCCACATGAATCCTGTCAATCACCCAGTGATCCCACAGTCACCATCAGCCACCCTCCCCTCATGGCAGAGTCACTACTGACCTCCTGGACATCCCAGAGCTGGTGGCTGTTGTCTGTCTCCTTTGTACAGTTTTGAGGGATGACCTTCCCGTGTCTAACATCAAAGCAAAACAGCGGAGCAGAACCAAGCCGGATTTCCTTCATGCTGTTATATTCAAAGTGCTGGAAAAGGGAGGGTTTGTTTGAACAATGATGGAAGGAAATCCCAAGTAATTTTTAAATGCTAATTCCAGAAATAATTTCCTGTACATGTTTGTTGAGATGCAACCCAAACATAAGTGATGGAGACCCAACAACCTTGACCCTGCAAAGCAATTCCCCTTGCTAGCTAATTCTGGCATAATTATTCACCTAAGACTATTTTTCTGAGGAAAGGCTTTGTGGACTCTAATTATGTATAAAGTAAACCCATCCTATAATAAAATTTTCTGGTTTAATAAATATTTGAACAGAAAGGTGTTTCTGACAGTGTCCACACACACTGAAGTTAGAAATGTGCCTGCAGCTCACCCCAAGTTCAGTGTGAGCAGCAAAACTTGGTTGGGACTTAAGAGTAAATATCTGCAGTAGGTCTGTATTGGTTTGGCTTCTGTTAATGCATGAACTTGCTAGTCTAATACCAGCTTGGGAGTCTACATGAATTTCTCTCCTGTCTTTTTACTGCTGTTGAGGCACTAAACTGCAGTTTTAGGCACTAATGGGGAAATCCATCTCCATTATTTTAGAATTGTTACATATTTTTTACTCCTAGGCTTTCTGTTCTCCAGACACTTCTAAATATACTAACAAACAGACACTTAATGATGTCTGCTGGAGCAAAGTGTGACTATCTGGCCTCAGTGACACATGGAGCATTGCCATTTTTGTAATGACACTCAGCTGCAGAAGAGTGAGCATCACTGCCTTAGCACATGCCTAATTTTTAACACATCAGTATTTCCACTAATGTCGACCCAGCGATTTACATGTTGGAGTGACTGTCTTCTGTATGGTTCCCTAGATCTGACACAGTGCCTATATACTTAAACTATACAGTACCTGGGTGAAGCTGTCGCTGCAAGGGGAGAGTTCAATAGAGCCTTCTGCAATGGCTCTTCCAGGTCTGTAATCTGCACAGAAGCCAACACCAGTATTGTAAAGCTGTAAGTAAAGGTTTATACTGAAATAAAGCACAATCAAATACAAACAAAATATCCTTCAGCTAACTTTTTTTTTTTTGTGATTGTATCCTTTTATGATATATGGTTTTGCTCAAAATTCAGGAAATACTTTTTCTTTCAGACTAGATCTTGCATCTTGTTCTTGCAAACTGATCTGATATAAAAGGCAGAGTCTCACCAAAGGTCAGTATTGCCCAGTGATTTTTAAGTTAGACATAATAACTTCTGGTTTTAACTAGTATGATAGTTAAAATAAATCTGTCAAAATTTTTATGCTAATGGAAAATTGCACTTCATCTGGACACTGTAGTCAGAAAAAAACCAAGATATTCCAGAAGAAAAAAACATGACAATTCCTGTGATCCACACTCAGCTCTTACACTCTTTACAAGCAAACTTTGATAATAAAAAACCAGAAAAAATAGTAAAAGGACACAATAAAATCTGGCTACAGGTATCAGGGTGTGACTCAGTTAGGGGACCTTGTTGCCTTATTGGCGGAAAATCCCTTCCAGTAAGGCTGCCTGGAATAAATTAATATTTTAATGAATGATAATTATCAACTTATGTGTTTTAACAAAAACATTGAGAATATTGCCTCCTGTACACAGTCGGCCAAGGAACTGCTATTGCTACTACCTCTGCTCTTGGGGGAAGTGTAGGACTGAAGAAATGCTTTTTTCTCTCTTCATGCACATGGGTCAGCGCAGAGATATCTCAGATGCTGTTGCTGTTGCCGTCTACATGAGGCAACACAATTCTTTTCCTTTAGTAATGGCACCTAAATAATGTAAGGTTAGGATCCTCTGACAATCTGGGTTCAGCTCCTGGCTGGCTTTCAATGTTTATGGGAGAATTTGAACTAGCTGTTTGTCTCCTCTGTCCTTCTGTTTCTCCTCCCATGGTTGTTGCATTGTCTGTTTGGACAATAAACGTTTCAAAGCAGGAACAGCTTCTTACTGTATGCTCACTGAGTACTCAGTACATGGAAGCGATAGTAGGGCCTTCGAACATTGCAAAACCACTAATCACTCTTTATAGTGTGTGTTCTCTTACCTTGCCAGAGAATCTTGGTGTGTCTTCGGATTGGGAGAGTTCAGGATACACATTTGATATAAACCATTGGAAATTTCTACAGCCCAGTCTCTTCTGTAGCTGAAGGCGCTCACTGCAGTCTGGCTTCTCTGCCTTTGTGGAAAAAAGCATATGAGGAACAATGTTACCAGTGTATTTGTGTTTGAGATGCTAGAAATGAAACTGACTACACAGGAATTATTTCTATCACCTCTTCTACCCTGCCTGTTATAGATATTGATATATATCTCTCCTGAGTAAGCAAAGGATGAGGACCAACTATAGCCTTCCTCCAACTTTGTGCTACAACAGCATTTAGTCTGGCGTTGTGGTGGAAGTAAGTATTTCAGAAGTAGCATACACTGTGAAAATAAGTATTTCCTCTATAAATGATTATTATACTGCAAGATAAGTCAGTCTTTGTCATATTTTTAATTAAAAAAGTCAGGGCCAAGTGATACTTGTTGCACTGAAATCAGTGGAATTGTATTAGGTTGTCATTCAGTATAGAATTTGCCCCACTGATCACAATTCAATTTCCTGGCCTTTAACAGCTCAGATGACCCAGTTATTGTCACTCCTCTGTGATCAGAGGATGTACAATGTACAGCCTATCAGACTAAATCTAGTAAATTAATGCATTTTGTGGCTATAAAAGCATAAAACCTTTCATATGATTTATGTGTTTTCTTTAATTATATACACACAATCCCAACTCTCACCCTGACTGGTAGCAACTCTTTTCTGAAAAAAAGACAAGTGCCTTCAACCCTATGGGCATCTGCACTGCAAAGGACTGATGGTTTTAATATTTGAGGGCATTTAGCACTGAAGATGGCTAACAGGATTCTGGAAATCTCTAAGCAGGTAAGTGTCAAATCCTTTGGCTTCAAAACCACACAGAACACTTTTCTAAATCTCTCAGTGCCCAAATACTTTAAAAAAAAATAAAAACAAAACAAACAAAAAAAGCCAACTGAACCCACCACCCTTAAGAGACTCTCCTCTTTTTTTGGCAGTGGTAGATCTCCCGGTTCACATTTCTACATTTTAAAAATGCAGTTTTAGTTTCCAGGACACTGGTCTGGATTCCTATGTCAGAAATTAAAATTGGTAACATAAGCAAAGAATTGCCCGTAAATAACTTTTCCTTAGTCCATCCAGCCACTTCTCTGCATCCATAAGAAAAAAAAAAAGGACTTTGCCATTTGCCTGGAAAACACTGACAAATAAAGGGCCTTGGAGATCAAAGGAGATGTATCAGCTTCTAAAGGCAGGGATCAATCATGACATGTGGCACTGTTTGCCAGCCCCTGTAAGCTGCACAGACAAAGCTCAACAGTTACAATGCATTAAAGAGAACCTCACAGTTTAGCATCAGTCTAGATTCAATAAGCATAACAACAAAGTTCAGCAATTCAGCACCACACAAACCTGACCCAAAGAGGTTTTGTTGGAAAAGGGAAATACAGGAGTAAAATACTTTCCCTAAAAAGAGGCGTTTCTCATTAAACTCTGCTTTGGCTGAAGAAGGTAGTGTCAATAAATCCCATTTTGTCATACTAGTTAGAGTCTGCATTTTATGCCAAATAAATGGTGTAAATAATGTAAAGAAAGTCATTATCCATGTAAACCAATCTGAAAGGAAAATGCTTGTAAATTAAATAAAGAAACCACACAAGAAAAGAAGAAAAAGAGGTGGTGGCTGAAATAGTAGAGAGCTGCAAAGAGCCTTATTCATCTGCATTAATGCTCACACCACGGGCATTCTGACAGGATGCAATTCAGACCATAAAATGCGAAGACTTATAAAGCCACCTTAGCAGGGGTCACTAGCTCTTCTCTGCAGTGGGCAATGCAGTGGTCAAGGCTGGTGGAGATTTTTGTAGTGGCCAATAGGTGTCTCCGCTCACCCTCCCCGTGCTCACCCCGTCCGTGCAATAAATCCCTGCAGGGCCCATCTGCAGCTGAGCAGCAATAATGCCATGCCACGCTTGTGTCTTTTGAATAACATCCCGCTGCACTGACATACTGAAAATATTGGCTGTGAGAGAAAGGAAGAAAGAAAAGAGCCTTTCACGTTATGGTATGCTGAACACAGAGATTGTAAAACTGATCATCTGAAGGAGCATCATACTAAAGGTATTCTGGCTAGAATAAACTCCCAGGCAAAAGGTCACGGTGCTTACAGCTAGTAAACTGTATCATTGATGGCTGTAGTTTTTAGTACAGAAAATTGCTTCTGAGTTGACAGGAAAGGCCTTCAGGAAATTATTAAATGATTTAAGGACTTGACTGCCCATTTTAAAAGCCTTGGCCTAGTATCCCCCTTGCAATTACATGGCTGTGACCCTTGTGAGTCAATTGATGAACTTCTGGACAGTGGAGTTCAAACCTACAACACAAAGAGGGATAAGCTTTTTTAAAAATGAAAATAGAAATGAAAATATAATTCAAAAAAAGGAATGTGATAGCCTCAGACTTCAGGATTAGCATAACAGCTTGACTGGAGAAGCAGATTCACTGGTGGAGTGTAAGGAGGTCAGACCAGGTGACAGGAGAGAAGCCACACCAATGCACAGCCCTTTCCTCTCCCTACTGAATGCAGCTCCAGTTGGATCTGGCTTGCATAGACGACAACTAGCACTACAATGACTGAGGCATGCAGGACTGACATGCAAGAGCAAAACTTAACGGGAGACTTTCAACAGCACCTACTCACGCTTTGCCACACTGTTTTCAGTGAATCTTTCTCTTCTTAAGAGCATGGCATTGTTAAGTGAACAAGAAGATGAATGACATGTTTTCATTCACAACAACTCACAAGTTTGTCCACTGCCTTGTAGGAGAGGATATCGTTACAAGAAAAGGTATTGGAGCCAGAGAACTCCTGAGAACTGCAGCAACGTTAACTACTACAACCACAGCTGCATGACTCCCAGTAAACAAACACCCACTGGTTTGTAATACATGGGATATACAGTCCCTTGACTGATCCTGATCTGCAATGGATTATACAGTGGCTTAAAAACAAGTGTGGTCGTTCTGTAATGGTAGGATGCTGTGTAGCCTGCAGACAGTTCAAGTGTGGCTGCAAGCCTGGGTCTATGCCACACACCTGGCTGCAAGCCTGCCTTCCTGTACAGGCTGCTAAGAATCCAAAACCTCGGAAGTCAGACCACTGTGTGATGCTTCTACTGAAAAAGTAACTTGTAAATAGTGGCTATGTTGAGATCTGACTTTCTCAGTCACAGACAGTTGCTTCTGGACTTCTGTCAGTTCAGGAAAAAAAATTACCTTTTTTTGTCACTAGACCACTCAGATCCCTTCCAGTAGGAGAGACACCACAGTTTGCCACATGCCCATGAATATTACTGAATATCCTTATGAATCACATGAGGAAGACCTTCAGCACTGAAGAATGAAGCCTCTAGGAGGGCTCTTTGCATACACAGTGCTACTAGCTTCCACTTCAGATGCACTGCCACCCTCCATGTACTATCGGTGGAAAAATGAATCACAGCTTTTTGAGCAAACTGAAGAAGCAGTCACTTGGAGAAGGTGTCATACTCTAAGAGATTTCATAACTTCATCAAACAGCTCCTAGGGACAAGCTTCTCTCTTTCCTTCCTGATCTGACAGCTCTTCCACTGGAAGGTTTCATAAAAAGACATCCCCAGCACCATGCACGTTGAATGTTTCACTGCACATAGACATCCCCAGCCCTATTCCACCCCCTTCACCTACCTCAACACACACTCCTTCCCTCAGAAGCGAACCACTACAGATATCTTTACCTTGCTGATTAAGAAAGCCACTGTGTCGTGCTTGTAGAAGTGCTCTTTAAAAGACCCCAGCCAGGTCTCTGCTATTCGGATTTTGTTCCTCACAATAGCCTCTTCATAGGAGAAAGCACGGGGAAAGTGATTTCGATAGACATGCCCAACTCGGGAGCATGGAATAATTTCTACAGAGCCACCACAGAGCCAGGTCTGAAACACAGGTGAAGGCACAGAAAGAGATTACCTTATTTAGATTACCTTTATATAAAAAGGAGAATCTTGTTTACTACAGACCCTGCCCCAGGAAATCCTGATCTGCACATTTCTGGAAACAGACAAGAGCATCATTATGTGCTTCTTTACACACTGTTCCCCACAGATGCAGAGACACAGAGAAGATACTGGGCAAGACAGACCTTTGATTTGACCCAGTATGGCTATTTATATGCTTTTATGTTTTTCTGTGCATAAACAGTGCAGTGTAGTGAAGAGACCTGGGGACACATCTTTTGTCTGGGACATTAAAGACTCTATACCCTTTGTGTCTGCAATTTTCATTGCTTTTTAATATCAGTTGCTCTTTGTATTTAGCAAAAACCAATGCAAACAATTTCATATAAACAATTTTGGATTAAAACTACAGGTTGGCAAAGGAATAAAGCTAGTCTCTCTTTGGTGCATGTTACATGCCAAAAAAGAAGCAGCTTTCAGAAGGTGCCAAAACCAGTGACTTTGCTCTGTCAGATAGTGATAGCCAGTGAAACTTCCTTCTCCTGACATAATGCTCCTAACTCACAGCAGCTGCATGTTCTCATATAGCCCTGACAAATTGTGGAGCGTGGGGACAGATTTCTGTGAGGAAAGTTACATTCTCCATACCCCAAGACGTTCTGCACTTAACTGCTTTTATAAATTGCTTCTTGCCTTTTCATTCAGGTTCCTTAAAAGCCCAATAATTACGACAGCTTGATGTTTTAATTAAGGTTCTTACCCTTATAGAGAGCTCCAGATTTTCTGCTCCCCACATGGTCATGTCAGAATCATAAGCTCCAGTGTTTTGAAAGTAATGTCGGTCCATGGCCACCACTGCACCAGCTACCACGGGACTCCTGTGCAGAACACAGGTTGGAAGTGAGTTTTGGATAGAGAATTATGCGAAGGGTGAAAATCCCACTATTTCCATATAGACAGTATTACAAAATGATTGACTACTTCTCCATCTAATCTTGAATTAATTGATTATCTAACCAAAAGAAAGAACAACTGCAACCTAATTCTAGGATTTCCTTGGGGAAGGGAGCCAAGAGCTGAATTGTCAAATAATGCTGAGAACAGTGGGAAATGTTACATACATGTACACCCAAAACAACAGACAACCAGATCATGATTAAGACATCTCTTTTAACTCCGTATGATCCATATTCTGCTTTC